TTATAGTTTGAAGCAGAATAAGTTATGATTTGCAGCTGGTAGTCTTGACAATTTGAAGTAGAAATATAAATGATAAATATTAATTTTCTGGTTTTTCATATCCACAAGCATGAATGGTTTTAAATTTGATAAACTATTTTGCAAATGTAGGAGTTTGAAATGTTATTTAGGATTTATATACTGGGCGTCCCAATAAAGGCAATAAGCTACGGTATTGGGGAAACGGATGTTAATACAAATTTGAAAGAAAAATTGTTAAGTAAATCGGCCAAGGGAAAATGCTGGAAATTATTTTTGCGGACCTCATTGGCATTTTGAATTTTAAAATCAGTTTTTTGCAAAATTTTCTTATATTATTGATACTGTTTTAAAGCTTAAAAAAAATCAACGAATTTTTATTAAATGCTTTTTACTTGTTTTTCTTAAAGGACAGTGCTCAAATTTTTGTGGAAATAAATGTCGATAACTCCAAAATGGCATAATAGATTTTAATAAACTTCAACCAGTTACAAAGGGCTTTTCCTAAGTCGGACAATTTGCTATGAGTTAGATGGTTGCCACCAGATGACGTTTTCTGATACAATGGCAAAAAAAATCTAACCAAAAACTAATAAGACCCTAATAATTCAGTGAAAACCGCATCTCAATATATTTATCCTAACTCAAAATATGAATAAAAGAATTTAAACCTAAAAAAAAATTGAATTTTGGTTAGTTTTGGTTAATTCTCCAATCTAGTGGTCATTATTGAAATAAAAGTTCGTTATATATCTTAGTTTATATTACTATGTTAGATATCCTATCTGTTTGCCAACATTGGGTAATATCCCTTCTTTTATAAAAAAAAATAGGGTTAGCCTCTCATCAATATTGTTAAAGCCTAATTAAGTTAAATAATATACTTACTAACCATAGTAGTATATTAAGCAACAAGTGTGGAAAACATGCATTTGAGCCCTGCGCAGCGAGCCTTTAATAAACGAATGACTTAAAAAGTTTACTAAATATGTTGCAGACTATACTTTTTCTACGACTGTTAGTTCTTGGGGATATGTTTGCAAAACAACATGTATACATTCACGGATATGACCGTCAGAATTGGCAAACGACAAAATTCAAACCGTGCAGTAATATCTTCGAAAATATGCGATTGCTTCGAAACCCGTGCGGTAATATCCCGGAAATTTCCGAAGTGACTTTCATCTGTGGGAAACGAAACTGACGTGGTTAAATGGCACTTTCCGCACACTAAATCGGTATAAAATTAGTTATTACGGTAAAATATATCTATCTGAAACAACGCCATACGCTTCGTTCACATATATAATCAAAATTTTTTATTATCAACGGTTTTACATAGTTAGAGGTTAAATTTACCTAACCTTTGAGTTTTTTTGTTAAAATTGTGTTTATTGCATTAAAAATGTCTTATTCCACTTGCCTATTTTAGATATTACTACACCAACTTTTTAGATGTCTTGTTTATTAAACACTCGCTCCGGTTGTAGTCAATAAACACGTCTGCCGTCTACCATACATGTTGCGTAATATATTATTCTCGAGATTGTTCTTAATTTGTAAAAATAGTAATAATAATAATAATAATCATAATAATAATAATAATAATAATAAAATATGTATTATATTAATCTGAGCATCAAAATAGTCCATAAAAAAATATAAAATACAGTATGTCCACCGAGGGAGTATACAAAAGAGAGACAAATGAAAGTTCCGGAAAAAGGTTAATTAAAGTTTTTTCTTGCTATAAAAATAAGATTGCAATATCTAACGTCTGTTTGTTTTGCACAGGGTAGGAAAAAAATACAAAAATATAAAATTTGCTCTAGAGCAAAATGGTCCATTGTACAGCATAAACACAAAACGACAAATACAAATTTCAAATGATAGTTTTTCATATAAAAATTCGAAATTTTTTCTACTCAAAACGAAAACATTTCTAACTCTATTTGATTGCACTTTTCATAATTTAATTTTAATTAGTCGATTAATGTAAACCATATGCAAAATAAAGTGCCAGCGCGTTCGTGGATCGGCAATACAAATTGTAAAGAACAACGTCAACTTGCACAAGCTAATAATGTTCTCATACGAGTCAATTTTTAGTACAAATGGCACCATTTGAATGAGAATTGAAATGAAATTATAATGCACTTTTTTCATAATACATGTAGCGGACAATTTTATTTGCACATATTTATCTGACACGTTTGAAAAATTGCCTCTTTAGTATCGCCAAAATATGTATCTTCAACACGATCGGTGTCCCGCTTGTCATACTGCAGATGTGAATGAAAAAATGGCTCGCTGGGAAAGTGACGGATATACTGCAATAGTCAAATGTTATAACCGATGTGTTTCTTTGAGGACGTCTTAAACAACTGACATATGAAAGACCAATTGAAAATGTCCAAGAAGTTTTGAAGCACAAAATGCTAGAAGTTGGTTAAAAAATGTATTTCCAAATGCTTTGTCCAATTTCAATTTGCAAAATGTTTTCCGCTGAATACAATAATTATCATCTAACCCCTATGAGTCTGCCAATTTCCATTATAAATATTCCCTGTTCTAAGGTCAACATGTTTCTTATTTTGACAAATAGTCAAAATTATGAAAAGTGCAATCACATACAAAATAGCTGATACTGGTTTTGGTTATATATACTAGGTTCAAAGTCAATTTTTAAATTTTGTTGTGAATTCCTTTTAAAATTCCTCTACCTTTTTATTAATAGTAATAATTAATTAATTAATAGTATAAATATACTTTTTAAATATTAGTTTTCATACATACAACACAACAAAGCCATTATTTTAAAGGTAGATCACTCATGCTAAAATATATGCAAGATGTATGCAACAGAATTTGAATTTAAGGAAATAAGGAAAAGGAATTAAAAATTTTACTTCAAGTTCAAGATTATACCCAGGTCATTAGCCGTCAATATAGTCAGTCCAGTCAGAGCAGTCGTGCACGTGTAGTGATGTAATCAAAAATTATCCGCATATATTAGCTAAGAAATTTTTATCTTGACGCGGAAAATTCCTGTGTCAATTTAGATGATACATCCCAATATACCGTTAAACTTACCACTAGAAAACACAAATACTACATATACATCTATACATATAGAACTACACCGAGAACTTCTAGATAGTGATTTTGTACAAAGGATAAATTTCTGCATTGTTATAAATGCAGCAATAGAGACCGATCTAAATTTTTTAAAGCTACTTTTCGTATTAATGGTTAATCGTCACAACATGCATTGTTATTCAACAGTTGGGGTATATTCTTTTCGCGAACCACTTAACGGGCTTAGCTATTTAAACCTTTAACAGAATGATTTACTTCTTCAAGAAGTTGATAATATTGAGATCATCCAAGAAGTGTGGTTTTAGCAAGATGAGTTCCGCATTACCACGGAGAAGTCCGACAATTTTTAAATAATTATTACCCCCAGAAACGGATCGGTAGAGGTGGATTCATTGGATGGCCTTTTCGATCACGTGACTCAACACCCATAAATTTCTTTTTGCGGGGATAGTTAAGGACCGTGTTTATATGAATTCCCCTACAACATTAGCAGACAAGGAAAATAGGATTCGGGATGCTTGCGGCAAAATAACATTGCTTATGCTAAGGAACGTACAAGAAAATTTACTAAAAAACTAAACATTTGTATCCAACTAGTAGGGCATATTTTGGAGTTTCGAATTTAGCCGTTATTTTTACCATACTGTCTGCTCTTTTATCTACGGCTTTAATAAAGTTCTTTCTCCTGATATTTTTTTTAACTTTGCCTAACAGTTTTGTCATGGCCAACTAATATTATAATATTAGAAACAAAGGTAAATATTGGAAACATTAAAATACATAGTTTTAAGTATGAAATACTTAATAAAAGTTGTAGGTTTTTGTAAGATCTTTCAGAAGAAATAAAAATACATGGTGTACCATTTAATAAAATCGAGATTTTTCATTTTTAAATGATCAAAATAGATTCGTTTATTATGAACACTCTGTACTATCTAATTCAAATTGCGATACATATATCTTTTACGGCTTTTTCGAATGACGCTAATATCAAATATGAAAAATATTGTGAATAAAGTGTGAAACCTAGTATGTTTTAGGCAAACGAAAGTATTAAAAAATATATATATTGAAAGTTTTAAAAAATGTTTTAATTTGGTAAACTTTTTTGAGTCACCGTGTAAACTTAAAAAAATAATCGTCAGGTATTGCGAACGTTATTTTTAAAGCAAGCAAAAACTTTTATAAACAATGACTTTTCTTTGAATCTTGCCTACTCCCCCTTGTGGACATACTGTATATTTGTAACAAATATTTAACTGGAAAAATAATGTTTATTAACATTTAGTAACATTCTCGCAGGCTTTAAGAACTGCTTTTCTTTTTTTTCTTTAATTTTATATTCATTAACAAATAAAGGAGGCAAGTGGTAAAATATCTTCTTAAGAGATACTGCAAAGAAGAAAGGATAAGCAATTCGTTGACGGCATTGAATACGAAATGTCAAATTTTTGTGAAGATTTTTGTAGATTAAATTATTTTGAAAATCAAGCTAAATAATATTCTCTTGCTCAACGCCCTATTACGCATACGTATTCCCAAAATAAATTTAAAGCACAAGTTTTGGACTTTTATAATCTTCAAAAATGTGCAAAAACTATAAATAAACAATATCAAAGAATTACCAAGCACAACTTTAGCCTTACTATTGAGTACTGTGTGGATAAAGGAATTTTAAAATAGAATAATGAAGTTAGACCCAAATTTTTAGCGGTATGCCAAAAATTCAAATATTTATATTAATTAAGCGACCCATAAATCCCACAGCGACATGGCACGAAAGCGAGGATGAGAATTTTGAAAAAGAGCGCAGCGAGTATTTTGGGAAAAATTGCAACGCAATTGCACTTCGATTTAGCAACGTCGATTTAAATAATACTGACCTTTATCGAAGTCGCTACTGCAGATTAAAAAAGAAATATGCAGAATTTTTTGACGAAACTTTAAACTGGTAAATAAATTGAAAGTAATAGGGCTTTATATAGCACTTGACTACCCCAACCCTTACTTCACTGCGCGCTCAATCCGCTAGACCGTGTGTCAGGAACAGAACAGCGTTAAGTGGAGAAAACAGCTCCCATGTTAGACGGCTATCGATATTAAACATGGCTCTTTTTGTTACTAATCGATAGATAATTAAGTTGTCGACTTCATGACGACAAAAAGGCAAAGACTCTGGATATGTACCGTGCGTCTTTTTTTATTTAAATCAGAAACTTTAATTATTGTTAGATCGTCTGGCCAAGTCAGTAATTTTAATTAGAACTGCACCTCGTTTCTAGGTAATTGCAGCGCAAAAGCAAGATTCATAAGAAATGAACAGAGGTTACTCCGAAGTTAGTTACAGTACTAGCTATTTTTACAAAAGTTATTTATATTATACGTGATGTTTTAAAGCAACGAGGCGAGGTTGATTTTTTACTAATGGTTTGGCCGAATGAATAGGGATCCTCCTCTGTTTATTGAAATGTGTATTCTGTAACAGAATGTAGATATCAATATCAAGTTGGCGCTAACGTTTGGTTAACAATTATCAATGATCATTTAATTGGGCAACATTTTCTAACTTTAACCGGCGAGTTCTATTTTCATTTTCAAGAAGAAGAATAACTTTCTTTGCCAGAAAATATACCCCTGTTAACTAGAGTAGATATATCGCAAGGCGGACATTTGTAGCACTTATAAAAATCGTATTTTTGTGTCGCCTTAAGTGTTTTGCGTATCAATTCAATAAATTATTTTTAAAATGTACGTGTTTAGAAGATAATTGATAAATATTGGTACAAGCGTCCAAGTAAGTAATTTTTTAAAATATTTTTTTAATATTTCTATTACGAATAAATGGCAGGAGATAAGAAATTTTGCAATAAACCCGTCTATCGAAATTTATTTTTTTCCATGTCATTGCCTAAGATTTTCATTCATTCTATCTTTTTCTTCTTTATTTAAATTTCATTAGAAGAACGACTAGTAATACTTCAGAAATATTTCGCTGTTCTATATATTTTAGTTATTAAGATAAAAATTAAAAACACCATTTTTCCGCCATGTTTGTGGAGCGATATGTCATGCATTATTATAATAAATTAACCTTTAACCCCAAAGTTTTTCGAATAAATAAAATTTATACCCAGGTTATTGGACCATATTTGTTTTAGAGAAATTAAAATATTTTTTTTATAAATCTGGTAACACATTTTAATGTTTCAAGCTTGACAGTATAATTTTTTTACACAGACCGTTACTACTTAATATGATAGGCATTCAAAGCGAAAAGCTCTGGAGCTCTGGATAGCAACTGTAGGTTACTGAATATTAACAATATTTTTTTTTGCATAGTCAAACCTACCCATTTTTTCTACTCACTTCTGTAAAAAAAAATAAATATACATAAATCTAGTTTGCGGAAAGTGTCATTCCACCACGGATCCGAGTCACTTCGGTCATTTCCGGGATAGTACAGCACGGGTTTGGGAGCAATCGGATGTTTTCGGAGATTTTACACCACGGCTTGAATTTTGACGTTTGTTAATTCTTTTTGTTTGTTAAATGGCGTTTACCGCATTTTTTTCATAATATACTATTTTCCAAAGAAAATAAGAAGCATATAAATCGGACAATGTTAAAAAATAAATAGTACTATAATAGTGTAGTACTATATAGTATAGTATAATTCCATTAATTATTTCATTAAAAAATTTGTTTCTATTGCGAATTTCAATATTGTGGTATTCCCTTTGGAATTCACCAAAATTTTTGGAATTCTCACTGATAATATGTAAAGAAATAGAAAACTGAACAAGTGATAAAGGATCTGCGGAACAATTTTCTTGCTTAAAATAGTTTCTTAGTTTCAATTGTATTGGTTTTTGTTGCATAAAAATGGTTTTCAAGAAACAATTGGCCCTACTAGTATTAGTGATAAGGTATATATTTTATTCGTTAAAAAAATAATTGGAAAGAAGTGAGCAAAATGATAGATTGTTGTGATGTCGTATATTATTTTTCACGAATTTATCAATAAATGATCGCTCACATTGCCTTCAATAATTTCTGACAGTGGTGTTAATGAGAAAGATAAAAGTAATCAAACCATATCGCTATACAGTGTGTTGTTGTCGAAGGAAAAAAGGTGTAGAAGGAACCTATATGATTTAAAATTTTCAAACGATTTAACTTATAAGATATTTTTAAATGTTTAGCAAAAAACACATTTTATTGTATTTTAGTTGATATGTGGAAGCATTTTCACAATGTGACTGCTATCATTTAATTATAAAATTCTTATTACAGGCTACTTAGTGTTCAAATTTCAAAGTTTAATAAACTCGTATTTGGGTTTTGAATTTGTAGATAAATCGCCATATGCAAATGTTTAAGATGTTTGAATAAAAATGAAATATGTCAGCAGCAGCTCTCCTGTGGCCATATTGTTTCTACAAGACGGTATAGCAATAACAATTTTGCAATTTGTTGGGAAGACTAAATATGAAATTTAGTGGTAATTGGAGTTGCACATTTCATACCGCTGAAACTTTTATTTCTAAAATAAGCAAAGCTTGACCAAAAGTAAGTAGCCAAACCACGTTTGTTGTGCGCTATGCATAAAATTTTTTGTTGATTTAAATTTACATTTGTAATAGAGCGTATCATTTTAAAATTTCCAATCATTTATAGATGCTACATTTCTTTCTATACTTTTTTTGAGTAATAATTGTACTCTTGAAATTTTAGGCGCATACATACCAATTTTTGAATGTATTTCATGTATAACTCCACTAACAAGCTTCTGCTTCTGTGGATTTTTAAAATATTTAGTTCTATTTTTTTTTAATTATTGGTTTGTATTTATCTTATAAAATAAACATTATTATTATTACTATTATCATTACTATTACTATTAGGAAATTGATAAACTCTTAACGGAAATTGCGAATCAAAATATCAGATATACAGGGCAGGCATAAAGAATAGACAATCCTTAAACTGTAGATACTAACCACAATATTATGATATTATGATTGAGCCCCTTGAGATGACATTCAAGAAATTCAAATTTATTTGGACATTGCTCATAGAGTGTACTGGTTTCACCATGTTTGTTCGATAATAGAAACATGATGAAAATCAGAATTTTCATAGAAAAGTACTTTTGTTTTGACTCAATTGCATGTAAAAGATATTTGTCCTGTTTTTAAATAAATATTTAAAAGATAAAAAAGCATGGAAAACAATAAACAATGAATATTTAACAAAATGAAATCAAAGATCATATCGTAAATATAAAGTAATTCTTCCTTTTTTTCTTTTCTTTTTATTTTTGGGGTTCCTACCTATTTTTTTTATAATTGTTTTGTGATTTTTTCGAGCGTCATTTAAAAATGCCTCTGCTTCAAATAATTTTTGTTTTCAGGGTGAAATGTTATCGGTTTTTTAAGCGATAGGGAATCCTTTTTAAGTCTAGAGCTTTTGTAAATGGATGTTGTACTGACAAAATAAATGATTTGATTTGAAATGTTATAATTTAATAATATTTTGGTGTCTAGTCTTTTCAGTCCAAAAACTCTGAACGTCTTTTCAGAAATCGTGACTTATATTTCAGAAACTGTTGTTTAGAAATTCTGATTGAAGTCACAAGTCCTGACTTATTCATTCAAAATTTGTTTCATTATACCAAGGCATGTATTTTATTTCTGCTGGCGTTTCATTGCTTTCGTATAATACTTAGTGCAAATGGACTCTTTCAATAAAAGGGCAATATGAGTTTAAGGCAAGAAAATGCTAATGCAAATATCAAGAACAAATAAGCTTGGCAAATGTTAGAATTTTTTTTTTATCCCTATAGGAATTTTCACTTTAAGCTTTAAAATGCAGAAATGTTATTTAAATATATTATATAATATTGTTTAAATGTCAAATTCAATTACATCTTTGCTGGGTTATTCGTTAGTTATTTTGTATCTTTAAAGTAAAGGTTAAGGTCAAAGGTGAAACTGCTGTGATAACCAGCATTATTGAAAACTATTATGCTGTCTGATGGTATATTTAGAAGAAGAGAATTTTTTACTCAATTTTCAAAAAGTGCACTTGTTTCGTGTGTCGGGCCAAGTCTCGTCTAAATAATATATATTCATTTTTCTACACAAACTTTTCTACAAAAATCTGCGACTGAGACTGTTGCAATGATTTCACACTTTCCTGCTAATCCACTCTGCATCACCATTCCTATACGCTGTAATTATGCCTCACATCTGTCTCTCCTTTTTAGTGAATCATTATCAAGGAATCGAAGCAATATGGATCTTGAAATGCTAGTTAACTCTACTGTCCTCCAAATGGCAGCTTCCGTGCTCTTTGACGTTTTTAGAAGACAGATTTTTTAGTTGCTATGTTAAATAGTTTTTAAATTTAAGTAGATAGATATTAATATGGATCTCAAAAATCGCAAACATCTTTTTCTGCATTGGTATAAGCTTCGTTAGCCTATTTCTTGCAAATTGCACTCTTTCTTTACTTTGACTTGAGAAAAACTTTTGAAAAATACGTGAGATATTTTCATAGGTTGGATTTTTATGGTAGCAGTTTAATGGCAGATCTTCATCAGATGTATCATCAACTACTGGTTCAGATTGTGAATCAGATTAACTGAAGGAGACCTTTTTTTTCGCAACTTTACGCTTCTTGGTTTGTAATCCACTAGGTCCATGTTCATCGAAAACTTGAGTAATTTTTTGTCTTGACAGATTAACTGACTGCTCTAATTCTTCCTTATTCGGCTTTGACGTAATTACACCCTCATTTCCTTTACCGGAAGAAGCCGCAAATTGTTTGTTTTGTCAAGGGAACTATGTCATTAGGATAAACATGAGATGACTTATTTTACTCTTTATCAGAATTTGTATTATCGTAAATTCTTCGTCTGTGCAAATATTTCTTCTTGTGGCGTTACATTAAACTCTCTAAAATCTCTTTTTCCAGATTGCACTTAACTTAAATATCATA